GGCCTTCGGTTAGCCATTCCGGATGTCTCTCATCGACTAGCAGCTGGTTCATTTGTGCTACCAAATGCTCATGGAGTGTAGTCAGGTTCTTCAGCCAGTAGACGTGAACCATATCAGGGCATGTTGCTGTCCAATTCGTCATACTGGAGACCATTTTTTGGATGTTTGCCACTGTGATGGTTACTGAACCCTGTTCAGGGAGGTTGCTGTGATCTGTTCTTAGTTCCACTATCCACTGAGAATTGCTGTTATAGGTTGTGTCCTTCTCCCAGATGCTCCTCCATTATTGCGCCGTCTCCAGCCTTGGCGGTGCTGTTCTCATGTTGTTCCCCTACCGCTGAGAGTGCACCTTGGATGGAGAACAGCTGGTTTATTCTCCTGCCTTCTGTCTCTCTGGTATACCTTTTTAAGCGGCTGGCCAAGGCTGTGAGTCTTTGATTGGCAGTTTCCTAGGCCTCTGGTATGGACAGCTTGCTGTACTTCTTAGTCACCTTCTTCATTGCACCGTTCTGCAGCTCTGACAGTTGGTTAACCTCCCTCTGTATACCTTGATCTTGGCTTCTCATCTCCTTCTCCATCGAGGTATTGCTCCATGTGGCTGTTCAACTTGTAGCCAAGCATCTCACTGATCACTGCTGCTGTGGTGTAGGTCAGCTGTTTAGTCTTGGTAATGATTGCGGTAGGTATCGTCCATAGTGCTGCATTCACATCATCTAGTAGATCTTCTGAGAAGACCCAGGTTTCAAGCTTTGCAATGATCCTATCTTTCAGGTCAGTTCCTCTTGCACTCAACCATCCTTCTTCCATCGTACTTCCATCGGGGCTTGGTACCCAATCTCGTGTGGGGATGATGATATCTCTCCCCTGACCTGTCGTCCTGGCTCCCCTTGCCGTAGCATATGTGTTGTACCTCGTTAATCTCTATCCACAAGAGCAGTCCCTTCTTCTGAATGTTGGAACACCGAGCTACTAGTTGTTTCAGTGTCAATGTCCTTGATTGGACCTTGTTGATCTGGGCAACGTCCGAGCTGGTATGACTTCATACTTATCTCTCTCACTCATGAAATATATGCCTATAGGCTTGGAGGAGGTGTCAGGGTGTGGGGGTGCTTTTCTAGTGACACTGTTGGGGATTTATTCAAAATTGAAGGCATACTGAACCATCGTGGCTACCACAGTATCCCGCAGCGACACCACATCCGGTTTGCATTTAGTTGGACCATTATTTATTTTTCAACAGGATAATGACCCCAAACACACCTCCAGGTTGTGGAAGGGCTATTTAACCAAGATAAATGGACTGATTCTTATATAATGCTTTTCTATTCTCCCAGAGTACTCTAAGCACTACATACAACATGCCACATTCACCCAGTCTCACAAGCACTTTCTCTATATATAGAGAACTACATTCACACACAATACTCCGATGGATGCATTGGAGAGCAACTTGGGGTTAGTATCTTGCCCAAGGATACTTGACATGCAGACTGGAGGAGGCAGGGATCGAACCACCAACCTTCCGACCAGTAGGTGACCTACTCTACCTCCTGAGCTACAGCCACCCCTGGAGTGATGGAATGCTGCACCAGATGGCCTGGCCTCCACAGTCACTTGACATAAACCCTATCGAGATGGTTTGGGATGAGATAGACCGCAGCGTGAAGGCACAAGGGCCAGTGTAGGTACTGTACAATCTTGAAAGCGAACCATTTTCTTAAGCCAGAACACCAAAGTTGAGTCATGACTGGATCTTACTGCATGACCATGACCAATCCCCAGTCCTCAGTCCTATAGAAAATCTGTGGAGGAAGTTGAAGCTTTAAATTGAACAGCAGAAGATAAGATACATAACAGTTTTAGCATTGATGTAAAGAGGAGCAGGCCTGTCCTGAGGTTTGTGCAAGCCCTTTGACCAACTAAAACAAATGTGTTACCACTGTGCTTGGCGGCTGGGCTGCTGGTCGTGGACATGGCAGTCCCTCTGGCTCACCGAAGTCTCCCTCCGATGACGATGCGGGCTCCTCCGGCTCGCCGCGTTCCTCCGGCTTGCCGAGCCAAATCATTTCCAGTCAGTTGAATTTACCACAGGTGGATTCCAATGAAGTTGCAGAAGCCTCTACTAGATGTGAACAAAGAATGCATCCGACATCCGATGGAAGTCATCAAGACAGATCACAGTGCAGAGCAGCAGAGGTGACCATTTGGCTTTCTGTCGAGAGCACCAGCATGATCCATTTCTTGTACATTTGGCACATCTAATCCTAACAATAAATATACAGTAAATGGTGTTGCAGACTCAAGATGATCTTAGATTGCAGTTTGTTGCAAAGACGTGCTATATTTAGTTCCAACAACTTCATTTTGCATTCATTTGTTGTCTAGACAGCCAAAGCCAATGTCATCCATGAGCAAGTTTAATTCTCTGTGGTAACATAGTGCTTCAAAAAAGATTGCATGGCACCTGTTCTATAAATACAGTGACCCTGGCTATGAATCACTATTATGATACCAGACAGTGGTAGTAAAAACAAAGAGGACATTTGTTATGTCAAAAGATAATTGATTATTTTGCAGAAAGAAAAGGTTAGAAGATTAGACATTGCCTGAATAATCATTCTCTAATTAAGCCAGAAATTATCTTCAAACATCCATATTTTTAAAAGAGAAAACACTTCTGATATGACCAAGTTATAAAAAACAACTCTATTAATTATTAGGTTGCCATTAATCAAAGCAGTCTCTTGATGCTTTTGTATTCAGTGTTGTTTTCTGAGTGAACTCCTGGTATTACTGAACAACACCAAACACCTTTAGACAATGTGAAACCATGTTTATTGATAATAAAGATGGAAATAATAAAGTCTAAACATCAATCTTGACATGAGATATGGTTTCAAAAAGGGAAGGTATGGAAAGTAACAAACAATGGTTTATATGACAGGCACGGTATATGGGCTGCAGTATTGAGAAAACATGCAAACTCCACAAATTCATGAATCTGCCCCAGATATCTTAGGTAAATTGGTGAATTAGCCATGAACAAGAAATGGTGTCTAAAGTTTATATAACAAAATACTGTAGGAATGCATGGTGAAATGTGAGTTGTGAATTATTAGTAATACATTTCTTTCTTTCTTTTCTTTTTTTTGCTTTGTACCAACTTTTTATTAATAAAATATTAAATTCCATTGTGGAATAACAGAGATTTTGTACCAAAAACTGCAAATCTTAAAGCTGCAAATGGAAACAGGACTTTTGAGTGTGTCCTCTGTGTGAGGTGCCATTGCCATCAGAAGTGCTGAAATGTTTAGGTCGGTGTGCAATACATTAAAATAAAATCCAGTTAATGTGAGTAGGCAGTGTTTCCCAAGTTGAAAGGGGTGTGAAGGCAGACAAGTGAATATTTTTGGCAATGTAATCATTCAAATATTTATTTGTCTTAATTTATACACATGCACAATTGCTTATAATAAATAGAAGTGGTATCACTAAAGAATAATCATAACACCTCCGTAATTACAGAACCCAGCTATATAAGATGAAGGAAACAAAACTAGGTAACCTTTAAGAAATGAAATATTAAGACAAACATTACAACATAATGAATAGCAAATTGAATGAAAACAATAACATGACAACAACGACAAAAACAACAATAACAACAAAATATGTAAACTTCTAATGACTACTTAACATCTGTCAGATATGTTATTAAAGCCTTTATTGGCTGAGTGCAGGAATTTATTATACATGTGTTGATATGAATGTTTAAGGTTTAGTGTAAAGATTTAGCTATACAAACTGACGAACATGCAGGGATTTCACTGATGAGCACAATGGCAACAGGAAGAACCAAATAACCACTTGGTTCAAATGACACAACTACTGTAAAGGGATGTTGATTGCCAGTCAATATGTTTATGTATAAGCTTTTACCAAATGTAATGGTATTTTCTCATTTCTCAATTTTGTGCCTGCTCTCTTCTCTAGTTTGAGACTCAGACAATATGTCAGTTTGACATCGTACAGGATGTCTCAATTCCTAAAATGCATTTGGAGGAGAGAGGAGGCACAGGTGCCTGTTTTTTTAAAAGAGTTTACCGGTACTGTGGCACTTCTTTTCAAAAGGAAATATTCAAGATCTAAGAGTAATACTCTGATTAAAAAAAAAAAAATGCTAAACTTGTGTTCCAATTTCCCGTCAAAATATAAAGAAATGAAGGGTGGCTCAAATCTTTTGCACTGTATATGTTTCAAAAATGTGTATACTGAAGTTCTTTTTTCTTGATTCTGATTCTGATTTTTCTATGCAGTGGTATAAAGTATAAAAACGATCATCATAAAATATTTTAACAGGAAGGAACTTTTCCATAATGAAGAGCACAGCCGTGTTTTTTTTCCTTTTCATTGAACACTATCTGCAGACACTACGCAACGACACAGAAAGCGCACTTATTACAGATCACCAAATCACTTGCTACCCATGCAGTTCGCAAACTTAGCATCTTCCTCCCTTTAAATACGATTCCAAGTCCTCTGTTCTTAATTATGTACTTTTTCGATTCTCTCTACCGAGGATGAAGCGTTCAGTACATTCCTGAAGGGATCTTTACGTCTTATTTCTTATGTTTTAAAAAAGACAAACAAAACCCAAAGAAAAAACAAACAAACAATCAAACAGAGGGATAATGAGAATAATCCCCACCCCCCGTTTAAAACAAAGGGCAGTGATAATCCATAGTGCAGCCAGACAGCGTCCTCTGTCTTCCTTGCTCTTCACACCACAAATACCTGGCGAGAAGATTTGGATTAAGACTAATGAACTGGGAGTACAATAATCTCCGTTCACGGCGGAGGACCGCCTCATTGTCTCGCTGTATGATTTTTGTTTGTGTGCCTTCGAAGGCTAAAGACGATGTCTATCCGGGGATATTTTGTCGCTTTTTACAAATGCACAATTTTTCTCTCCCTGAGGATTTTGTTTCTTGTACCTGCAGGGTTGCAGGTCCGCAGCCAAGGGGATTCTCAGTCCTACAACAAAGTGATGGACAATATCACAGTCCGACAAGGAGAGACGGTCTTTCTCAGGTGAGTCTCCCCTCACACAAGTGTCTCCCTTCTGCTACTGCTGTTTATGAATTCCACCGCCAAAGTTATGCACTGCCTGTAGGCTGCCCTAAATGAAATATTTGGTATGGGATCGAGTAGCAGAAGGATTGACGTGCTGTCTGTTTTATCATGCAACCGATGTTAAAAACGGGCGGGGCGTTGAGCGGATTAGTCTGTGGAAAACACTCCATTCAGAAACGACTGCTAATCTTCTGCAGCTGTTAACTAGAGACACTGGTTGTTTTAATTGTTGTGTGACGATGCAGAACTAAAGGTGAGGGGGAAAGCGTGTTTCTGGAAGGAGGGCACGAGCAAAAACTGTTGTAAAGTGTTTGCTGATGGCTGTAGATGAACAGAAACATAGTTGTGGTTACTGAAAAAAAAGAATTGAGTGGCAAGACCGTAAGATTTACACACGTTTTGTTTCTTCAGCGGTCCCCAAACCTTAGTTGGACACGGGGATTTGTGTTACTTTTACGTAATGCAATGTTGAGAGCAACAGAACCAATAAAAACAACAACCAAAGCAATTAATTGTATCACTGTTATAGGAATAGTGTTACTACTTGATGTTTAAAGCAGGGCTGCTCAAAGTTAAGAAGGGGCAAATAGAACCAGGCTGAAAAACAACAACCCACATTCATCAAGAAGGCTTCTGCTGACAGTGACTTCCCATATGGAAAACTGACAGCTGCATAAGTAGCAATGAAATCTTAATAGCCAAACAAAGTTGAAAAAGCTCACTGGTAATATCCAAACCAACTATAATTTTATATTTAAGTGATTTAGTTGGTGGAAATCTTTCTTCAACTCACTTCATCCATTTGCTAAGTCTGCCAAACTAATGGCCACAGGTCTTTAACCACTCACAGTCATATGTCACTATGCTGCGAAAATAAAAGGATTACCATATGACATATGTGTAATTAACAGATCAAGTCATGAGACAATTTCTAAATTATCCCAAGCTTATTGTTTCTTGCCTATTTTTGCGTGAAAAATATCAGCACGTCAGAGAAACCCATTCACTGATATTATCTTCAACAGCCCAATGCAGACTGGCTGACAAATATACTGCTTGCTTTTTCAACAAAATGCTCTTCATAATCCATTGTTTGGACATCACAGAGTCCTCTTCTAAAAGGTCATCAGTATGGTAAATAATGAACATAACTTGGCTGTTCCTTCGTTAGGTGTAAGCTGACGCAATAGGGAGTAAGGCTGGGATAAAGTGCTGATTAAACAACAATACAGCAAGACAAACTTAATCACACTGGCATCAGTGTGCTCATTTTGCATTCATGGAATTAATAGAAAAACAAAATAAGCAAACAGGAGTAAAGTTGTTTCACAGACTTGGAACATTTTTTCTCCTTTTAGGATTTGTAAAGCAAGTCCTTAAAATGGTAAAATGGCAACTGTTGCAAAAGAGCAGTTAAAATTTATTTCAGTTTTACATGTGTGTTATTGTATAATAGTAAATCAGATTTTTCTGAATATTTTGCACAATTTTTAACCACAGTACTAGACTCTTGCTGAAATACTTTATAGTCCCAATCAACCACTGGACTTACTGACCTACCACTATTTCAGCACCACCGATAGCAATCTATCATGCCCTAATATTGTTTAGGAACAATGTCAAGTCCCAACAGCATGTAACAGAGTCAAAGTTGCTCCAGATCAGTCTAAACAGCAGAGCTTGTAGGGCAAAAACAACAACAACACAAAAATACATAGCATTATTGCTCCTATCCATATTGAAACTGTCATGGAATGTCAACCCATCGCTAACCCTGAAACAAGGTCAGTGGGATTGGCAAGTCTAAACCTACTATGATGCATATCAGTCCTTCAGGCTGAGCAGTAATGATTGTTTTGGTCTGATTCATACATTCTGTGGCTGTGCTGTGCTTTGATCTTGTTAGTGAGTGCTTGCTCATGAAGTCACATCAGTTGAAAAGACATCTGAATCTAAAGCGCATGCATTTATGGAGCTCTATGCACAAGACTGCCCAGCTTTATAGAGTCGATGCTTCTGAACAAATATATTTTTCTGTAACTCCTGATTTGCTCATGAAATCAGGATCTTTTATGTTTATGGACGGGAGGGATCTACACTATATCAACTGTAGTTTTAAAATAAGCAGGGATGCCTGCATCAAGTAAACCCTCACGTTAATATCATTAATTGTTAAGATATTTTACAGATGATATGCAGTGGGTTTTAGATGTGAGGATTTGTTTGCATGTTTTCCTTCATTATTTACATTCTGGGGATTCTTGACATGAGGGCAATTTTTATAAACAGGACAGAGGATTGTTTGTGTGATCAGGCAGCCTGCCAGCTGAGTCCAGAGTCTTTCTTTTTGTTCCATCCAGAACAGCTTCTGTTTTAGGTTTAATGGCAATAAGAACTGTGGATGTGTACACAAAAACAGCATGTAAGTTAAAATCCATGGTCTTACAACCTTAAACATTTCCAACATAAAATAACTTAACCTTCTACATTAAATTGATTAAATTGATCTACAATGACCTTTACTTTTAGTTGTACAACACTGAAAACACAAAACTGTGACACAATTCAACAAAAATATTTTAGAGGCAGTCAGTTTACAGTACAGCAACAAAAGAATATAATAATAATAATAATAATGGATTGGATTTATATAGCGCTTTTCAATGCCATTATTCATTCACTCTCGCATTCACACACTGGTGGAGGCAAGCTACGGTTGTAGCCACAGCTGCCCTGGGGCAGACTGAAAGAAGCGAGGCTGCCATATCGCGCCATCGGCCCCTCTGGCCAAAAAAAAGAGAACAGAGAATGAACATTTAGCAACATGTTTGAGTCACACTGGAACCTGAGCAGGATAAAAGGCCATCATAGTATTAGTAATCAGGTAATTAGGTTACCTGATGCAGGCAGGGCCCTTACAATAGCTAGGTGAGTTATTTTGTATTACCTTTATAGTACTTGGAAAACTTGAATCTGTTTGCACTTCTCAGACTTACCACTCCTGCTGTGTGCAGTGCTAACAAGCTACACATTGCCCTTTTTTGACAACTGCCAAAACTGAGGGCAGCATCATATTTTAAAGTATAGAAAATTTGAGCTTCCATTTTCCTTTGTGCCTATGTTGTTATCAGTGCTGTGGTTTGATTTGTGAAGAATGGCGTATTTTAAATAAAACTGGTTGGACTTTGTATTACAGCTTGGTAATAACTAAATCACCAAAGTAATAACCACTGCTAGCACTATGAAGGTTATGTCTGTGCATTTGAATTTACATCCATTATTAGAATAGCTTTAAATTGTAATAACCTCATAATAATAAGGTTGTACTGACTGATGTTTTAGAATAATAGGAATAATAGGAAAGTATTATAATATTATAATGCCTCAGTTAATCCTGGTTCCACAGCATCCTACTTTGCTTAAAAGCAATAATGTAAATGTTGTGTTTATTGTTCTGACTTATTAAATGGAAACATTGATGGTACGTGTGCTTTCTGTGTAATAAGCAGGAATTAGGGTTGCAAAATGCAAAACTGCCTATTTCTAGTTGGTAAAAAAAATTAACCTATTGAAGGAAATGTCAAGACATGTTAGCTGGAAATATCTCTGGTGTTTTTTTGGTTATATAAGTAGGAATTAGGACTGCAAAATGCAAAACTGCCTGTTTGTCATTAGTACCACATTAATAACTTATTAAAGGAAACGTCAAGAAATGTGATAATTACCTAGGAATACCTGTTGTAGTTTAGGTGTAATAAAAGGAATCTGGGCTGCACTATGTAGTGATTAACATGGTATTAAGTAGAAACAGGCAGTTTTGCATTTTGCAACCCAGATTCCTTTGTATTACACAGAAAGTACCACAGATATTCCGAGGTAATTATTGCAATTCTTAAGGTGCCCTTATTAATTTTTAAAAAGAATCAGAATTGAAGCATTATAATATGGTACTACTTTCCTATTATTGTAAAACATCAGTCAAAACAGTCTTATTATTATTAAAGGTTGTTACCATTTAAAGCCTTTATAACAGATGATAATTCAAATGCGCAGACACATCCTTTGTATTGCTAGCAGATTATCATATTGTTACCAAGGTATTACACTACTGTCTCTAATCGGTGTTGCTTCATGGGTATAGCTTTTTTTCCACTTTATTACTCCATGTTTTGTCCCTTTGTTATTCAGTCAATGAATTTCAGTATAATATTACTCACCTGTAACCATTGTTGCTACAATTATGTTACTTGGATATTACTTGGTTATTAGGTGGTAATAATGTGCAAATTTCCATATTATTACCTTTTTGTTCCCACCTTATTACCCAACTATTACCTCATTATTACTAATCAGTAGTCGAAAGCACTACCATAAGACTAATTATCAGTTTATCTTGATGTGAACGGACTCACTAGTTTATCCCTGCTAAGGCCTCCTGTGGCGAAAGTATAGAGAGTTGCTGCATAGCAACTAGCAGCATAGGCACATAACTGAAAACAATAGGAATACAAAAATATGATGATTCCTTTTTCTCTATTAACTTAATAGAAAATAGTTTAAATAAAAAAAAATCACTTCATCAGCACTATTAATAATAGTGCATTATGGATGTGGATCTGAACATCTGAAGTGCTCAAGCATTACAATAAACCGAAACATGAAAATGCATAGATAAGTTGATTTTGCTTTTTACCTTGCTGTGGCTTTTACCTATGGTGAAAGCCACTGCTGACCCAAAGGCTTGTGTCACATTTGCCAAAAAAACATTATAATGATCCCCTAGACCTTTGGGAAAATATTCAGTGGACTGACAAGATAATAATAATAATAATAATAATAATAATAATAATAATGGATTGCATTTATATAGCGCTTTTCTAGGCACCCAAAGCGCTTTACAATTCCACTATTCATTTACTCTCACATTCACACACACTGGTGGAGGCAAGCTACAGTTG